CGGGCCAGCAGCTCCGCGCCCTCTTCTACGCGCTGCCGCCCGGAGAGAGCTCCTTCCGCACCGTGGAGGAGGTGCCCGACTACGTAGAGAAGGTGAGAGTCCCCTCCTTTCCCACCCTGGCTGCATCCCTCGCCCTCCCCTTCGCCCACCTGCGCCCGTTTTCAAAAGCCACAGGCGCCTGGCAGAAACCATGTCCGCGAAAGGGCACCTAAATTAAGATAAAACCGCCTTGCTCTCATGGGCTTTCTGCCTGTAAGCTGCCAGTGTAACTGCTGCCAGTGTAACTGTGCCCTCTCTTTTCATGTATTTAAAGGATGATTTCTCCCGGTACCAAGAGCTGGAGTTTTTAGAGAAGCACTCCAAATATCTGAGGGTTGGTGCTAATGTTACATCCAACAGCACGGATAAGATGAACAGTGACAGCAAACTGAACTGAGGAAACAAGAAAATATGACACTGTGTTTCACTGTTATGGTTCTTAAAGCAAGCAAAAAGGTCGATCTGTGCCCTTAAGTCAAGCTCAGTCAAAGACAGAAAAATAAAAGTTTTCTAATTAAAATAAAAAATAAAGATTGTTGAAGAGAATTTAGAACAAATATTTGTGTTGGGACACTGCTGTGTCCTAAATATCCAAGGCAAGAGTACAGAGGTCAAGGGTGAGAACTCCCTTGTCAGCAGGCAGCAGATATCCTTCCCTCCCCTCCTGCCCTGCCAGTTTATGCACTTCCAAGAAGATACCTTTGCTCCCTTCTGTCCTACCTATTGCAGGTGTCTTGATTGTCAGCTCCTTCTGAACCCAGATCGATGTCAGCTGCTCACAGAGACAGCACATAAACACTGTTTTGCCTTTATCAAAGTAAACTCAGCCCATTTTCAGTAGAGCTGCACTTTTGACGTGTGTTTTGATAATTCTGACGAGCTCCTCTGCCAGGTATACCTTGGACTGCTGCAGCTGCTGGCAGACTGCAGTGGTGGTGTCATGGGCTGTGCAGAGCAGTGCAGCTCTGTCAGCAGCTTTCTGGGAATTGTATGCAGCAGTCCCTCACTGAGGGATGTTATCAGCAAAGGCTGTCCTTTTGCATAAGGTAAGCAGAAAGCTGCTGCAAGCCCAGGCTGTGTGTGCAGTGTCTGGTCAATGGACTGCTGTCCTCAGAGGTGTTTTGCAACTCAGCTATAGAGTCATGATCAAGGAAGATTGATAGTTTTGCCTAGTCAGCTGATCTCTCCCTCCAGCTCTCTCTACTATCTCAGTTCCTTTTACTATTCCCACATTTCCAACAGTATATCATTCACTTTCTTGTCTGCAGCATACCTTAACATCCCTGGGCTTTCTTCTCCTGTATGCAGTATTCAGGTCAGAATTAGCCAAACCTGGAATTTATTTTACTAGGCACACAGTTGTAAGTCTGTGAAAGGATTCTTAATACTTTGAATAATGAAAGTGCCTACAGGCTTCTGCTGTTGTAGGGCAGTGTTATGATAAGCTTGTAAAGGAATATTTCTCACAAAAAAACCCCAAAACTAAAAGAAGGGTTCCCCAGTACAGTTATGCTTTGCTTAAATTCCTATCTTAGGTGAACTGTGCTAGATTACCCATCTGAAAGTGCATTTGTTGCTAGAATAGATCTTTTGATGTTTGTCTAGGTGGGCATATAAAAGTATTTTAGTAGCATAACTGTTTTAACTCTTTGGCTTTGTTCTGACCTTAGGTAGAGTTCATCTGTCTTCTTCTGGGTGTGTTTATGGGCAGATGGCAGCTATCTACAGTCTCTCTCCAGTTGCACTTCTTGACTGTTTAGGGAACAATTACGCAAGCAGTATATCCATTGGATTCATCAGCAATAGATTTAATAGTGATCTAATGAGCCTTTCAAGGAGGTCTTGTGAGTGCTAAGTCCTTTAGTTGGTACATATACAGAAGTGGATATCTGAACCCAATTCAACACAGAACAAGGGAAAATTCTGGAGTAGAGCTGGTAACAAATGAAGGCCTAAACTCAAATAATTCACTCTAAAAGACAATAATGATGATGTGCGTGTGGAACAAACTACTCATTGCATTAGTGTCTCCTAAATAGTGTGGGATTTTTTCTTTTTCTTTTTTTTTTCTGAGACACTGTAGTAGAATTTGCATCTCAGGTACATGATCTCTTGGGTATCAGATGGATGAAAGAATTTCTGGGACATTAGATGACATGGCTACAGCTGTGGGGATAGGCACCGTCCAACATTAGACAGGTGGCAGAACCTCTAAATCCACCCAAATATTCATGGGCTTAGCAGTCTTGCAAAATTGAGCTGGTTGGCCTACAAAATATAGGCACTTCACAGGAGTGGCACCTTTGAGCTAGAGTCATCTGTGCTGTTACATCTGGGTAGGATGTGACAGCAGTGGGAACTTGTGCAGTGTGGTTTCTGTCTCTGGTTATATTGCTTGCATTTTCAGAAGCAACGGTCCCTGCACTGTTGCTCTGTATGTTGGCAGAGCTGTTTGTAAAGACCTCAAGTCCTGCTCAAAAAAAATGAGCTGATCATCTGCTACCAGTTCCAAGTAGCAAAGCTCTGCACCAGTGCCCAGGGGAAAGTCACCCTATCAACAGATGTTGAAAATTCTGGGAAAAGGGGTGTGAATCTTGGATAATCATTGTAGAATTTATTTTTATAAGATTTTTTTGTCATGTAGAAGTAAAATCCCTTGATTTTTCCTTATTTCTGGGAAGTATGTCAATTTTCTTTCTCCAGGACAGGACATCCTGATTTTTAAAATCTATGCTGATGCTTGAACATTCCTTTGAAGAGCATCCTCTTTTCCTGTTTGCTATAGACTAGGCTCTGCATAATCTGTTTCGTGCTTTTTTAGGGGGGGGATTTTTTTTAATTTTTTTTAATTTTTTTTTATTCTCTCATTATCTATAGATGGGCAGGTGGAATGATTCTTTTTGTTTGATGAACATAGTTTTCATGAGCCATAAATTCACTTTGTACCTTGCTGTGGTCTGAAATTATCACTTGTGCTCAGTAGAGACTTCCATGAGTCATACTTCAGAAGAGAGAGTCCTGCTGAGAACCCCAAAATGAAAGCTTTAATAATCACTGTTTTCATTTTTGGTTTACTCTCTTGAGAGCCTAAAGAATAAGTTCACATTTAAACTCAATTCACATTTTAGGGTTTGCTTCTAAATAACGAAGCACAGAACCTTCATATTTA